TCAGTACCATGTAAGTACCTGATCAGTACCATGTAAGTACCTGATCAGTACCATGTAAGTACCTGATCAGTACCTGCCTGTATTTCTGTCTTTATATAATTAATTATGTAAAGTTTTTCCTGAACAACTAAAAGCAGAGGCTTCTCCTCAGGCAGTGGTATAAGAATCATGTTTGAGGCAGAAATGTTGTAAAATAATAAAAGTTTTTATTTTGTTTTATTTTCGCTTCATGTTTTTATTAAAACTTATTAGAAACAGAAACTTTATTGTGAAAATCTTTGTCTTCCTGCTGACTTGCTGCTAATTCCTAAACGCTCCTGTTTTTTCCTCCTTTTGTTTCATCGTCAAACTTTTTATTTTCTTTCATTTTTCATCTTTCTGCTCCTTTCTTCTCTTCTTTCTTCTTTCATTTTTCTTCCATTCTTTTCATCTTTGAACCTTTTCTCTGTTCTCCTGGTGTCCTTTTTTTTTCTTCCGTCTGGTCTTTCCATCCGTCCCTCCCTGCAGAATCGCATGCACGAGTCTTTGATGCTGTTCGACTCCATCTGCAACAACAAGTTCTTCATCGACACCTCCATCATCCTCTTCCTCAACAAGAAGGATCTGTTTGCAGAGAAGATCAAGAAGTCCGCTCTCAGCATCTGCTTCCCAGAGTACACAGGTACAGCTGCTGCAAAAACACAAAGGTTTCGGCTGATAACAGGGTTCTGAGGCGAGGCTCGGCGGCAGCCATCTTGAATCATTCTCCTGGCTGCAGCAGAGTCAGAGTGATGCTGCTGGAGCTGCAGGACGAGTTAAACACGAGTTATAAAAGTCTGAATCATCCTGACTGCTCATGAATCACAGGACACTCTACTTTAAATCCTCTGTTTTTGGGGGAGGAGCTCTGATTAACAGCTGCTGATTGTGGAGGAGGACCGGTCCGGACGTTTACAGTCTGAGTTATAAATGTGCTCCTTTAAGTTTCTGTTTGCAGCTCAGAGTTGTTGAGCTGCAGGCCGAGTGAAAACCTGTCAGATGTTTCCTGTTTGTGGACGAGCAGACCGAGCTGAAGAGACGGGGTCGGGAGGGGGACTCGGTCCTCTCGGTCTGAGCCGGTCCTCTTCCTGTTCCTCGTGACTCACTTTGATTCTGCGAACTGTTCTGCTCGTCTCGTCAGGTCAGGCTGACATGTTCCCGCTCCTCCTCCTGCTCCTCGTCCTCCCTCGTTATCCACCACAGTAACATTCCAAACCCGGGTCGGCCGAGACTCGGGACTGAAGGAGACGAGAAACACCGAGTTCGTTAGATTCTTTCCGAGTCGCCCTGAAGTACGTTTGGAGTTGTTTGGATTTTGTACGTTTCCTGACGGCTCAGAGGGTCGGGGTCACTTCGTGCCCACCTGCCGCCTTCCTTTGTGTCGCCTTCGGCTGGTTTTCAGCCGTAAACTTTAAAAGTCAGATTTAACTCTCGTCCTCTATGAGGGATATCCTGATACCAGTTTGTCTCAAACCATGAATGAGTACTTTAGTTTGGGTATTCAAAAATACTGAATTAGAACTTAAACATTACAAAATGACTTTAAAGAGCCTGAGACATGTCTGTCCTTCAAATACAAAAAAATCGAAGAAAACATCTTTATACTTAAGAGAATTGGCATAGTACACATGATTTTACTCATTTTGTCACATAACTGACCTATTTTCTTCTAAATTTGGCTCAACGTGAAACAGGAAGTGACATCAAAGGGGAACTCATTAATAAAATAAACTCGCTGGTCTCTGTTTATTAAAACCAAATTATTTAAACTTTAACTGTTCTTTGTCTCTTTGATAGAGACTCAAAATAATGTAAAGAAACATCAGATTCTTCTCCACAGTCTCTGTTAGCTTTTGTAACATCGCTCTGTTTACATGCAGACGTTCACCTTTGACATCACTTCCTGTTTCTTCACATGTAAATATCTCAACAACCGTTTATCTGAGCGATGTGAAATTTGTTTCCAATATGTTACCAGTGACATCTTTCCAAAAATGAATTCATGTTTATTACAAAAATCTGATGTCCCAGGCCCTTTAAAAACACAATTTTCATTAGATAGTTTCAGTCTGGTGCTGATTTGCCACTTTGATTGGTCAGCGTTTTTCAGAAATGTTCCCACGACATATTTCACTGAATTTGTCAAGCTCTGTTAGTTAGCTGCTGCTAGTTAGCTGCTCTTAGTTAGCCCACTGTTAGTTAGCCCACTGTTAGTTAGCACACTGTTAGCCCACTGTTAGTTAGCACACTGTTAGTTAGCACACTGTTAGCCCACTGTTAGTTAGCCCACTGTTAGTTAGCCCACTGTTAGTTAGCACACTGTTAGCCCACTGTTAGTTAGCCCACTGTTAGTTAGCCCACTGTTAGTTAGCCCACTTTTAGCCCACTGTTAGTTAGCCCACTGTTAGTTAGCACACTGTTTGTTAGCCCACTGTTAGTTAGCCCACTGTTAGTTAGCCCACTGTTAGCCCACTGTTAGTTAGCCCACTGTTAGTTAGCCCTCTGTTAGTTAGCCCTCTGTTAGTTAGCCCACTGTTAGTTAGCCCACTGTTAGCCCACTGTTAGTTAGCCCTCTGTTAGTTAGCCCACTGTTAGTTAGCCCACTGTTAGCCCACTGTTAGTTAGCCCACTGTTAGTTAGCCCACTGTTAGTTAGCC